GCCGATTAACTAAATATAAATATTAAATTGCTTGTTAAACCTTTTTTTTAAAAAAAAAAATTTACAAATGTAGAAAAGATTGATTTGTTCCACATAATAAATTTTACCGCCTTATCAAATTTTGCAACCCTTCACTTCAGTATTAACTTTTTCCATCTTTTATATTCTTCTAATGCTGTTTTAGAGACCTTTAATTGAGCACGGTCAAAACTGAGAATATGCAAGTTTTTTAACGACTAATTGCAACGTATATTCGTCATTCAGCAAATATGTTCTCATCAACATTCAATAACGCGGTTGGGCTTGTTTTTATATATGACGCTTCACTAATTACACTGTCAATGGAGGGGATGGTCTTAATGAAGCACGTAGATAAAAAAATGGATGACATGTTTTTTTTTTAATTAGTTATTTTTGTTTTTTTAACGAAAGAATATTATGAATTTGATCAAACAATTAACATTCCTTCATTTTATATTCATTTTATTACCCGAATTTAGAAGGCATTTAATTCTATTTTAAGAAATTTATTTTTATAAATTAATTAAAATGTCGAACCATAATTTTATCTATCATTATATAAAACAAAGGGACGGAAGGGATGTAATTCATAGTCAGATTAAGCATTTTTTTATCGGCCCGACATCTTTTCTTTCTTAGAACTTTCATCTTTTTAAAAAAAAATTTTGCCAACGCTTAACATTAACTATATATACTAAGAATATTGGCGAAATACTTTGCAGGGCGAGGAATTATTTCGTTGTATTTGACGAAATGTGACGAAATTGACGTTGACCAATTATACAACCAATTTTTCATAACCAGTGATCAAAGGTATGGCCAAATATTAATTTTATATATAACAGTATAGCGGTGTCACCAAAAAAATGATTACCTTTTATCTTATCATCATGATAAAAAAAAAAGAGAATAATCACCATGGTAAATATCCAACGTTACTCTACATAATGAATTGTTATATAAAATCATTAAAACCCTAGGTTCTCAAAAAATGTACTTTTAGCATATTCGTCGATTTTGTTTGGACCGCAAAATTCAGTACGGCATGATCATAACGTTATGAATACCTTATAATCCATTAGTTTTGAGGTAGTGCCGTTGATTTGACGGGCTATTGAATAGTAAAATGGTTTTTTTTTTTTGTAGAGTAAATAAATTTTTTAGGGTTAATCATCACTCTACTGACCAGTTACACACACAATAAGATATACTGTACATGTAAGCTCATTAAGTCGGATGCAACAATCAATTGTTTAAAATAAATAAATGACCGACCTATCGAGTTTAAATGTGTGTAGGGTTTGAAAGAAGGCCCAAAAAATAAATCGGCTGTATGGTAATTACGTACTACCAGAATTTTCCCATGATGTTAATATATTGGCTGAATGTTCGCACTATATAAAACAATCAATATATGTATAGGAATCAATCAGCAAGTATCATAAATATCTGAATTGATTGGCTAAATTAATTTCGTCGATTTCGTCAAAAGATCCTTGGCGATAAATATAAATTTCGTCATGTACAATTTCGTCAACCATTCTTAATTAATTAATTTTTTCACGACACAATCATTTGAAATTTCCTTTTTTTTTCGAAAAATTCCTTTTTTTAAACAAATTCTACATGAAAAATGTCATTTTTAAAGTTAATACGTCGCATTAAATTAAATTCATCATATTCTTTTGTTAATTAATGAAAACTTTGAATTAGACAAAAAATCCCGTGATTTTGATGAAAACTTTGAGCTTGGTAAAAAACTTCAAAATTCCGTTGAAACATGAATTAAGTAAGTCCATTTAAAATATCTTGAATATATATACACATCGAGACTGTGTTAAAAAGCTATTAATATATAAAACTTAAATCATTTAAAAGTTGACAATAATAATGCCCGTTCCAATCCTTCTTTAGCACGTAAAATAATAAAAGTAAGTTATACCATTTTCTAAACTCGAGTATTTAAAGTTGCAGATAGTAATGTTAGCCGGCTTAGCCGGCTAAAATTTTTTCTTAACGTTCATTTTACGTCTGGGATTTTAGTGCAGAATTCAATGGCATAGACATTTAGTTGAGATGGATTCACTTAGAATGACAAAAAAAAACATACATTTGCTCAAAAAACAAAATACGATATGTATATCGTAACAGGATAAAAGTCATATTTTAATTCGAATTATTATTATTCGTTCTATTCGAATTATTCGAATAAAACTTTCAATATAATTCGAATACTCAAATTCATAATGAAAAAAAACAAATAATTTGAACCATTAAATGCGATTTATTTGGCTAAGCCATTCATTGGTCACATTACTACACTTAATCGCGTGGGGTGCGAATAACAATTCCCTAAATTTAATATCAATATTAATATTAAGTATTAAATGACGTTTATTATTATAAGAAATAAAATAAGAAATATAAGGAATAAATAAATAAAGATATAAATAAAGATATAAATAGAAATAAAAAGATTCGATTCGGAATTAGGGTATTTCGACCAACAAATCAGCTTTAAATCCTAATTCCAATAACAACTGCATGCAATTTGAAAACCAAAAATTCGCTTTCATTTTTTTTATAAATACTTTTACAGTAAGGTAATCCTATACAATTTGAAAATCAAGAAAAACTTGATAAAAATTATCTGAATAAATCAAAATGAAATTCAATATTTCTCTTCTCTTTTTGATTATCTTTGCTGTCATGGCTTTAGCAAGCCCAACTCATAACAATAATTTGGTGAAGCGATGTACTTCATTTATTATTATAATTACTATTACAATAAATATCATTATATTCGTATAATTGTTTTTGAAAAATACTAACTATTGGGTTTCATTTGATTTTAAATAATAAATAGTCACGTAAGTATTTTTATACTATTATTATAGTCAATATCATTATTTTTGAATAAATATTAATTATTGATTTTCATTTTATTTTAAATAATAAATAGTGTAAGTATTCTCATCATTTCACTATATTGTTTTTGAAACATATTAACTATTAATTTTCGTTTTATCTTAAATAATAAATATAGTGTGTAAGTATTCTCATCATTATTATACTACAGTTGATATCATTGTTTTTCTGAAAATATTAACTGTTGTTTTTTGTTTTATCTTAAATAATAAATATAGGACGTAAGTATTCTCATCATTTCACTATTGTTACAGTCAATATCATTATTTTTGAAAACATATTAACTGTTGATTTTCATTTTATTTTAAATAATAAATATAGGAAGTAAGTATTCTCATCATTTCACTATTGTTACAGTCAATATCATTGTTTTTGAAAACATATTAACTGTTGATTTTTGTTTTATTTTAAATAATAAATAGTGTGTGGGTATTTTTATCATTTCACTATTATCACAGTCAATATCATTGTTTATTAACTGTTGATTTTTGTTTTATTTTATGTAATAAATAGACTGTAAGTATTCTCATCATTATTATTACTACAGTCAATATCATTGTTTTTGAAACATATTTATTAACTGTTGATTTTCGTTTTATCTTAAATAATAAATATAGCCTGTAAGTATTCTCATCATTTCACTACTAATATCATAGTTTTGAAAACATATTAACTGTTGATTTTTGTTTTATCTTAAATGATAAATAGTGTGTAAGTATTCTCATCATTTCACTATTGTACAGTCAATATCATTGTTTTTGAAAACATATTTATTAACTGTTGATTTTTGTTTTATTTTAAATGATGAATATAGCCTGTAAGTATTTTCATTATTTCACTATTATTACAGTCAATATCATTGTTTTTGAAAACATATTTATTAACTGTTGATTTTTGTTTTATTTTAGTCTGTAAGTATTTTCATCATTTCACTATTGTTACAGTCAATATCATTGTTTTTGAAAACATATTTATTAACTGTTGATTTTTGTTTTATTTTAAATAATAAATATAGAAAGTAAGTATTCTCATCATTTCACTATTATTACATTGAATATCAGCATAGTGGAAGTTTGTTGTTACACGAAACGTTATACAGAACTCATTGCTTCTGAAACTTCGCCAGTATATAGTTATTACCTCTCTAAATTGGAGATCAAGTTCAGATCCAATTAAAATCCAGTTTATCACTTACTTTTTATTGCCAGAATGTTTGACGTGTATTGTAAAGCTACGTTGCACAATATAAAAAATTAGTGTAACAATTCAAATTTCCACTATGCTGTCAATAGCATAGTGGATCACAAAAAAATGATCAACATAACATATGTTATGGTGAAAGTTCTTGCAAAAGTTTGATTATAGAAATGTGAGATAATTTTGATCTTGCTGATGATCTGGACTTAGAGAGGCTACAGCTATATTTTAGTGAAGTTTCAGAAGCAACGGGATCTGTGTAACCACCTGCCTATTATACAAATGACTGCTGCACAAAATGAGTGTCCATTATGCTGCTGTCAATATCATAGTTTTTGAAAACATGTTTATTAACTGTTGGCTTTCCTTTTATTTTAAATAATAAATATAGACTGTAAGTATTCTTTCTCATCATTTCACTATTGTTACAATCAATATCATTGTTTTTCTGAAAATATTAACTATTAATTTTCGTTTTACCTTAAATAATAAATATAGGAAGTAAGTATTCTCATCATTTCACTATTGTTACAGTCAATATCATTGTTTTTGAAAACA